GTTTACGGTTCTGATCTCACAGCAGAAGACCTTCTCTCCTACCTCACCCCCATGACCTATTCTTATGGGGCATCTGGGGTCTCATGCTCATCCTTACACAAATCCCAAGACCAGGGGATGGCCTGTGCTGATTGAACTTGTCTCCCATGATGGGAAGACGGGCAGTTAGCCTCATCCCAAACCCACTGAGTGACTTCCCAAAGAATCAGGGAGTTTATACATGTTAAAGAAAAACGTGGCACACCATAAAATTTTAGCATATGGATCAATTACTACAACTCTACTGCTATCATCACTGCTATTTTTGCTATTATTACTAAATATAACCAGAAATTTATGAAATTTCAAGAGAAAGATGTGCTTCAGGGGAGGGATGAAAGGAGAAGAGTCTTTTTATAAAGATGTGTCAATCAATAAAAGCCCATGCCTACTCTAAAGAACTGGATAAAAATATAGAGGAGACCATTTTTGCAAGGCTGAGTCCATGGAATCAGGAGACTTTTCCTAACACAGTCAAGACTGTGGTTAAACCTGCACCAAAAGACAGTACAAGGCCCAAATGAATTCTAGGAATTTAGAAAATCAGTACATAAGAAATCAATATTGATGTAGTTTATCTCTGTGTCCCCACCCAAATCTCACCTTGAATTGTAATAATCCCCTCATGTCAAGGGAGGGACCAGGTGGAGATAATTGAATCACAGGGCTGGTTTCCTTCATGCTGTTATTGTGATAGTGAGTGAGTTCTCATATAATGATTTTATAAGGGGCTTCCCCCTTTGCTCGGCGCTCATTCTCTCTCCTGCCACCCTGTGAAGAGGTGCATTCCACCGTGATTGTAAGTGTCCTGAGGTCTCCCCAGTCATGCGGAACTGTGAGTCAATTAGACCTTTTTCCTTTATGAATTTATCCCATCTTGGGCAGTTCTTTATAGCAATGTGAGAACAGACTAATATAAATATCAACGAACTTGGGCAATGGAGAAAAAGCTTCCTTCCCTTTCCTTTCTTCCTCCTGGAAGAAGGTGGGCGTGCACGTAAGTACTGCAATGGGGTGTGTGTGTGTGTGCGCGCGCGCTTGTCTGTGTTCACAGAAATATTACTTGATAGCACAGAAACAAGGCCTTCGCCCGCAAATGTTAGTATTTAAAATCCTAAGATCATGATTCTTGGGGTGCATGCTCTGCTAGACCCCATGAACAGGGTTCTGAGAGGAAAACCGTTGAAAACTTCTCAATATACCTTACATTGGGATTACTTCTCTAGAAGAGCAACATGTAAAGAGAGCCCAGTGGCAAAGAGGGTAAGAGGGAGACAGAGAGAGAAGAGAACCTAGGGGAGAGAGTGGGAATGGGGAGAAGAGAGAGTGAGAAAGAAGAAGAAGGAAAGGAAAAGAGAGAGAAGGAAAGAGAGCGTTCAGCCAAGAACATCCTATCATCCTCCTCAAACACTGGACCAATATTTTTATCTATTGCTTGATCCATTGCAGGGGCAATTTCACCATCTCTAGAAAAATGGTCTGAGAAAATTAGTGTCAAAAGATGTTATTTGGTTGCTCAGTGTCTTTCTTTCCAGAGGGTTCCAAAAGGGGTGTGTTCGGAGACAGACAGAGCCAATGAGAAGCTGCACCACTTTCTCTAAGGGGGCCTGGGAGCCCAGAAGCCCAGTAGCATCTCTTCCAGAACATTCTCAAAGCTGTCACAAAAGCCCACCCAGAGCCTAACAGAGGGGACATGAGACACCATCCTTTGAGGGAGCGCAAGTATAAGCCCCTGTGGGACAGATATCTCGCGTGGCCACTACTGGAACATGCGGCTGCCAGGCAGCCCTGCCTTCCTCCCTTAGCCTCGCTCCTGCAGGAGCCAGCCATCTCTCCCCATCCCACTTGCCTTGCTTCACCCCAGCTCAAGATGTCACCTAATTCCTGGGGCTTTAGAACTCACTCTCCAAGCAGGTGTCCTTGTCACTCTAATTTAATTTAGACCAGCAAATTGGCCCATATGTGAAAGATGTGTTGAATTACTTCTCACAGGTATCTCAGACCCATCTGGCTGGTGGGGTGCTTGGGAGGAGAGCCCTCTGGGATTAACAGAGAATGAGGATACACACTTGCAAGCACTCCCAAATGTCACCTGCTGCACCTCACCCCACTGCCAAGGTGTTATTTTAAGATAAGCAAGTAAGCAGTGGCTCGTGCCTGTAATCCCAGCACTTTGAGAGGCCGAGGCAGGTGGATCACCTGAGGTCAAGAGTTCAAGACCAGCCTGGACAACATGGTGAAACCCCGTCTCTACTGCAAATACAAAAATTAGCCGGGCGTGGTGGCAGGCACCTGTAATCTCAGCTACTTGGGAGGCTTAGGCAGGAGAATCGCTTGAATCTGGAGGCAGAGGTTACAGTGAGCCAAAATCGTGCCATTACACTTCAGCCTGGGCAACAAGAGTGAAACTCTGTCTCAAATAAATAAATAAGTGAAAAAATAACTTACCTGATACCACAGAGTTAAGGGTCAGAGTGGTGGGGCTGGGGTTTGAACCCAGGCAACTTGACTCCGGACACAACATCCTAATTCCCATCCAGTGGCAACATCATCAGTGAAAAGGCCTCTGTATCCAAACATGTCCACCTTGAACCGCCATTGTTAAAACACAGATTCCTGGGCCCCACCACAAAGGTCCAGGGTGGGGGCTGAGAATGCACATTTTGAATTCCTCTGACAAGCTCCCCAGGGTTACCTTGGGTGCTGCTGGCCCACAAACCTCCCTTTGAAGGGCCCTGCACTCTATTGGCACAACAGCGACACAGTCTCTGGGCCCTTACGGCATGACTGTAAAAACCAGAGAAGAGAATTACAAAAGGAAAACCCTTATTTCTTTCTCGCTGAATATAGCAGCAAATTCTTGCATGATAATGAATGTAAAAACAAAAAATCTTTTGTTAAAACTCTTAAATGTGTATGTTTATGTATACATATATTTTGCAATATATGTTCTTATTTTATAAGAAAAATTAGTTTTTCTTTTAATAAAAACCATATGCAGTTTAAAAAATAATCAAAGAAGAGAATATTGGTGACCATCCTAAACATAATAGAGCTCTTTGAAAAAGTAAAGGGTGGCTATTTAGATTATTGATCTTGGTGTTATCTTATGGGCCTAATTTAACAAAATTCCCAGCCCCGTCTTCTGAATACCTGGGTTACAAGCTGGAGTCTGTGCAATTATGAAATCCCAGGCCACGTCTCCATCAGAGTTCTATTTTTGCCATTAATATTCTAATAAGAAAGGCTAAATGGCATCAATAGGAAGCCATGTGAATTGCCTGCGGAAAAGACTACAAAACTTTTTTTATTGTTATTATTTCAGTTTCTAGACATTTCATTGTAATGGGAGAAATCAGAGGCCTGGGCTGAGACTTAATCTGTATTTTGTGGTACAGCGAGGAATATTTTCCCCTCCTAATCTCTACTTAAAGTGTAAGTAAGAGTGCCTCTATCCGTCGCTGTGAACAAAAAGCACAAAAGGATTCAGAAAGTAATAACAAAGATAAATAACTTTGCAATAAAATTTCAGCTCCAGTAATTTTCCATTTATATTTTCTCACTGAATCATGTAGTCCCGAGCATTGCACTGTTAACGTCTGAGCTGCATCATGCAAAGTAATTTCATATCTAATGCTTCCCAGAGAGTCCCAAATCTAATGCCCCATACCCCTGCCCTGCTGTGCAGCCAGTGAGTCACGCGGTTCACCCCAATAATAGGACTTCCCATGTGATTTCATTGTCTTTCCCAGGCAATCAGTCTCAACATCTCAGAGAGAACGAATTGTCAGGAAGCCCCTCCAGCAAAGGGGGGTCCGATGCTATTACTTACGCCACTTATGGTTGGAAGTTGAATGCTGAACGTGGTTTTACTGGGTGAAACCGCTGATGTGGTTTTCGGTCAGCCAGTGCAAGCCTTGGTTAGCAAGGCAATAGTTAAGTGCATTAGGGGACCTCAGAGAATGTTCCAGAGAGGAAAGGGAGGTGAAAGGGTGGGATGAAGAAAGGAGGAGGAGCAGAGCCGTTCTTCAGGCTCCAGATAGGGAGCGCACTCTGCTCTCTTGAAAGAAATCTCCCTCTCCCTATCGCTCTCTTTCGCCATCTCTCTCCACCTCTGTCTCTGTCTGTGTCTCCGTTTCTCTCTCCATATCTGTCTTTCCCTCCTTTCTACCCTCTCTCTCTCCCCTCGCCTCAGTTCTTTCTCCCCTCCTCTCTCCTCATTCTTCCTCCCCTCTTCTTCGTCTACAGAGAGATGTTCTCCATCCAGCCTTCTACCTTTTCTTCTCCTTTCCCATCCATCCATCCATCTCCCTCTCTCCTCACTCTCTTCCTATTCTCTCCAGTTCCCTTGCCCTTTTACCCCTCCCATTCCTCTCTCCTCTCCCCCCACCTCCACTCTGGACATTTTTGTCTCTGAGCTGACCTAAACCAGATGCAGCAAGGGCTCTGTAGAGGCCACCCTACATTAGCATCCCCAGGTGCCTGTGGGTCCTCCTTGGACCCCGTGTTCATAGAACTAAGTCTATCTGTGGGGTGGGGCATGTCTCCTGGAAGCTCCTAGAAGATCTTGCTGATCTTGCTGTATGTAGGTCACTGAACTGTTTGTTTCTCCATCCTCCATCCAGTGCACCTGCTAAACCCTACATGTTCTCTTCTTTCTGCCCCTTCTCTCTCCCTGGCTCCCAGTCCTTCCAGGGCCTTTAAAATAATTTCAATGCACAACCAGTGAGAATACAGCTCCTGGCCTCAGGCGGGAGGTGAACACCTGCTGATGTCCACCCAGGGCTGCTCCTCTCCTTCACCTGGGTTCCTGCACTTTCTTGCCTCCACCTCTTCAGGCTGGGCCAGCTTGCTTTCTCATGTGAGCTCACAGTATCCTTTTCAAAAAGTCTGTATCTTTGTAATTATCCATTGGCTACTATTTGTTTAGTTAAGATCTGCACACACACACACATACGCACCCATTTGTCTATAAGTGCCTTGAGGCAGGGTCTTGTTGATGTCTTTCTCTCTGCATCCTGCACTGGATAGAATCGTGTCCCTCAAAGATTCTGAGGTCCTTCCTGGAACCTCACAATGGGGCCTTATTTGGAAGCAGGACTATTGCATATGTAATTAGTTAACCTACAATGAGGTCAGTGTAGAGTGGGCTCTTAATCCAGTACAGCTAGTGTCCTTATAAGAAGAGGGAAGCCCAGAGGGATGCATGGAGAACACTGTGTGACCACAGAGACAGAGATCGAAGCCACACAGCTGCAAGCCAAGGAAAGCCATGAGTTGCCATCAAACACCAGCAGCTGAAGAGGCGAGGAAGGATCCTCCCCTAGAGCCTTCCAAGAGAGCATGGCCTTGCCTGCACCTGGATTTCCAGCTTCTACCCTCCAGAACTGTGAGATGGTATACTAAATTTCCATTGTTATAAGTCACTCAGTTGTTGATACTTTGTTGTGACAACCCAATAAATCGAGTCCCCATGCCCAGGGTCTAGCACCACCCCTTGTCTGTGCTAATGGCCATCCTGGAAATGACACGTACACATAGTATCCCATATTTAAGTTCAAGCTTTAGTCAATAGTCCCATATTCTCAACTTCACAAACCACACGTCTTAATTTGGGTAGCCCAGGAGCAGACCAAGGCTAGGAATCCAAGGGCAGATATTTTAGCAAGAGGTAACCCTGGCAAACACCAGTAGGGCTGGGGAAGCAAGGCAGGGGAGGGAAGGAGTCAATAGGGTGCCCAGCAGAGAGTTTGAGGTTACCCGTGTGGCCACTAGGGCACAGACTCCCTGGGGACCTCTGGGAGACAGGGTAGACAGTACTTTTTAGAGAATCCCAGCCAGAGTGCTGGCTGAGAACAGGGACAGAATCTGATAGCACCTGCTACAACTCTGGAGACATAGAATTGTCACCTTTTATGTTGTCAAGTTGGAAAAGAATAAATGCAAATTCCATTTAATGCCTCTCCATAAAAGGAACATTTAACATTACCAATGTCAAGATGATCATTTTTGAATAGAAGAGAGTTTTTTATGTTAAGTTTCTGCCAAGGTCTTTCTGTCTTTGTCTTTATTTTGTCACTGTTGTTAGTGTGGGTTTTTGGATTTTGGGGGGGGAGGGTAGTAGATTGTGTAACTAAACTTTTATTGTAGAAAAAAATTTATATTTTCAGAAAAGTTGCAAAAATAGAGAGTTTCTATATATCCTTTACCTGGCTTCCCATAATGATGACATCTTACATAATCATAGTACTGTCAAAACTAATAAATTAATATTGAGACAATACAATTAATTACTTGGTTCTAACTTTTAGACAGTTCATCACTAAAAATGATACCAATCCACAGATTAGCATCTGGGAGCCACTGTCTTAATCTATCCTGAATAAGTATGTCATGGTGCAAGTCTCTTTGATAATTTTCTGTCTTGCTTCTGAGCAGTTGACAAGTTAAAATTGGCCTCCATCTGTGGGTGGGACCCACAGATCAATCAAGAATTTCTAAGCACACAAAGGCCCTGCCCTCAGACTCAGTAGCCCATGCAAGTTAAAACAAAAAGGCAATGCCTACAAATGCCTATATTGTATACAGTATACATAAATGCATGCATTCTATATAAAAGTGTCCATAGTACTCTATGTGTACAAATGGACACTGAAGGACAGGTATTCATCATCAGCTATACTAGTGGCTTTATTAAGATTTCATTTACACAACATAAGCGTTTACTTGTTCAAAACATACAATTTAATGCTTTCAGTTATATTGACACAGTTGTGTCAGTATCCTCATAATCTAATTTTAGGATGCTTTCGTCATTCTAAAATGGAAGCTCATAGCTATCAGCAGTCATTCTCCATTTCCACTTTCCCTAGCTTGTCAACCACCAATCTGCTTTCTGTCTCTACGGACTGCCCTATCCTGGACATTTCATATGAAAGGAATCATATAATATGTGGCCTTTTTTGTCTGGCTTCTTTCACTTAGCATGATGTTTTAAGGTTCCTCCATGTTGCAGTAGGTATCAGGACTTTATTCCTTTTTATTACCAGATAATAATATCCCATATATAGCATATACGGACATACTACATTTTGTTTACCCATTCGTCAGTTCATGTGTATTTGGGTTGTTTCCACTTTTGCATTACTATGAATAATGTTGCTGTGAATATTCTATGGGTTAAATTTGATCAAACGTAGTGAGAACTTGGATCTGCAGGAAAACATTCATTCTACAGTAGAAGGGCAGCATGAGCAAGCCATGACCTCAGAAGACTAGAGATCTGCGGATCTCAGAGACTTTATCTATCAGCAACACAACTTTAAGGGATGTCTGCGCTGAGACTTACCGTGTGTAGGCGGCTGTGTGCTGGACTCTGCAAGGATTATCTCATTTGATTCTCCCTGGAACAATTTCATTTTACAGATGGAGAAACTGAGGCTTGCTCAAGGTGACACAGGAGGAAGGGGTAGAGATCAGATTTAAATCCATGTTAGCAGGACTCCAAAGACCACATTCTTAGCTGGGACACCGCACCAAGATGCTGGGGCGGGGACCACAGGCAGGGGAAATGTGGACCCCGGCACGCGTCTGCACTGTTTGTCTCTTGACTGTTTCCTATCCGCTTTGCTGCTGAGTCACCCATCGCCAAATCCCAGCCTACTGTTGAAAACTGGCTTTGAAGGCAGGAGTTTAATTCTTCCACAAGATAGTCTCCCCGAACCAAATCTCATTAATAAAAGATGATAAATAAATTTTAATAAAGGACTTGCCGAGATGCTTCTGCAGCAGCACATACTGTCAAAAACTTTTCTCCCCCTTGAACAAAAAGGATCTTTCTCAGCAGGGCAAAATAATCTCCACTCCTTTATGGCAAGTCTACCGACTGCTGGTGTGGAAGGAGCTCCGGCTTCAGGTTTGCATTTACATGTGCTGTTGTTCATCTCCCTGGCATATTCAAAATATGCCATTAATTACTGAACATCGTCAGGTTTGGAAAGGAAAAAGAGAGCACATAACTGGAGACTCCCTTTCACTCCGAAGATGTTTGGAGGGACATGGGAGGAGGTCATTGCAGTGTGACTGGTTGTCACCCCTGAGCCGGCTGGTGACAGCAGATGTCAGCACCGCACAGCAGAGAGCATCCTCCTTGGAAGGCAGCTCGCTCAGTGGAAACGCTGCCATGGCTCAGGGCAGACCATGGCTTGGCATTGATGATGTCGCTTTGTTTTATTGCACGGTCTGAAAATCTGCCTCTGGATTGTGGAGCCAAATTGCACAGCCCAAAAGGCACCGGTCCAGCAGGCGATACAGGAGCCTGCTCAGCTCTGGCAGCAGCTGTGCCAAAGCAAATCTTCCTAAGCCAAACAGTTCAAAGAGTGCCAGGGTCTTCCCTGCTCACAAGTCTTCAAGAGGCTTGCTTTGCCCACGTCTTCTCTCTGTAGTTTCACAGTTTCCATTCAAGTTTACTTAGGTTTGTTCCCTACGTCGTTGCCCAACAGAACAAGAGGACTCAGTCGGATCCCTCCAACTCTGATCAGAGGCAAGCCAGGACAGGACGCCATGTTTTCTTGCTGCCGGCAGGTTCAGAGAGCAGGTGCGGTGCTGTGACCGCAGCCCCGCATGGTGGGCAGTCCTCGAAGGAGACGCTCCTTTTGTGTAGCTGCCATGCCTGCTCTGTGTTTTGCATTTTGTTCGGAGTCTGTGATGTGCGCTGCACCCTGCGAAGCCAGGGGCTTGAAGATCTCACTGCAGAGTGCTTAGGAAGAGACAGAAAGGAGAGCTCACAGAATCCTCGTCAGTTCTGAACAATGCTGTAAAGCAGCGTGGGCTCCAAGCAGCTCAGATAAATTGGAAATCACATCCTTTCTCCAAGACAACCACCTGCCACATCCTTCACTGTTAGACTGTGATGCTGGGCTGTGTGATCAGCCTTAAGTCGTGGCAAGGATGCAGGTGGCTATGCATTGAAGCCTAGATCTGTCCAGACCAAACACAAGACGGGACAACCACCCTCAGGCTTTCCCTCCAGACCCCGCTCTCATTGCCACAGCACCCTGATTTCTCTGAGGACATTTGGGGGTTCTCATTAAGGGTGACCCACTTGTCCTGATTTGCCTGAGACTTGCCTGGGTTTAGCATTTGAAGTCCTGCATCCTTGGAAATGCCTCAGTCCCAGGCAAGCTGGAGCCGTGGGTCACCACATGTGTCTTTGCAACCCTTACTGGCCAATTCCCAATATATTTTTGTTCATCCCTGTAAGACTCATTCTGTGAATATTTAGTGAGCACCTACTGTGTGCCAGGCACTGTTCTAGGTGCTGAAGATGGTGTCAAAGCAGGCAAAGCCCCTGCTCACACAGGAAACAGACAGCGCCACTGAATCAATGCATCGCCAGCACGCTGTAGGGTAGCAAAGGCTGGGGTTCCAATACAACTGCACGCAGGACAGACAGAGTCCTGGGGTGGGGTAAAACCACGTTAAATGTCCAACAACAGCCTCCGCAATGAGCTGGCATTAAAACAAAATCCAGCAGAAAGGGAGAGATGGGGCCTTGTGGTCATGCAGGGGCAGAGTGGTGTGTGCTTGGAGTCCTGGAGGAAGACAGGGAGGCCAGGCATGTCTGAAGCAGAGAGGATGTGGGGAGGATTCACAGGGAGGAAGGGCAGAGCAGTGCAGAGGCGTCTTTGTCCATCCAGGCTGCACCGTAGCCTGGGCGGCTCAGAACCAACAGAAAGTCCTTTCTCCAGGCTGCAAGCTGGCAATGCACCATCAGAGCCGTGGCAGATGCAGCGTCTGGTGAGGGCCCTGGCTTCTGGCTCACAGACTTGCCTCCTCTCTGTAACCTCACACGGTGGTAGGTACAAGGGGGCTCTCTAGGACCTCTTTTAAGAAGGCACTAATCCCTAATCACCTCCCAGAGGCCCCACCGCCAAATACCATCACATTGGCAGATAGGTTTCAACATATAATTTTTTGGGGAGTGCAAACATTCAGACCTTAGCATAGGACCTAGGGGATGTCAGGTCATGATTCAGTTTGATTAACTTAGTTAGTTACATGTTCTTTGTAGCAAGGTAGTACAAAAAAAAAATGTTATTCCAAGAGCTGGTAACTATCTTTTCTTAAGGAGAAATATGTCTCTGTTTAGAAAAAATAACTCACAAAGCCACACGGGTAGGTGAGACCCTGAAATTTGGTGAATGGAAAGGAAGGAGTGAAAATGGTCACGAAGTTGCTGTGCATGAGAAGGGAATAGAAACATGGAGGTGAGAGAGACAGAGGAGCAATGAGGCTGAAAATGGGAGAAAAGAGAGGGCCGGGGTGGCCACACGGACAGGATGGTTCACTGAGGGACTTGTAAGACTCAGAATGCCTGACATTCAGCCGGCAGCTGGCAGGATGCAGAGCTGTAAAATCTTCCCGTGACTTCCTAAACATAGTAAACTAGTGATAGTGTCAAGTTCATTTGCACCCGCTGAGAGTTAGGGTCCTCCACAAACCTGTGCAGGCTCTCTGGCTGCCTGGCCAGCAGAATAAAGAGCAAGTGAGACAGGCTCTGCTGGCTTCTGAGTCCACACCTAGGCCCTGACACTCGCACTTCTGCTTTCTGTGCCTTGGACTCTCTGTTCTTAGAACCCAGCCCCCATGCTGTGAGGGGGCCTGAGCAGCCCCATAGAGAGGAGACATCTGCCTGAAGAGGAATCAAGGCCCTGACTAACAGCCCTGTCTGACCTCCCAGCCCCAATTCTCCAGCCATATGAGTGAAGCATCTAGGAGATTCATGAGGAACATTAACAGTTGTTAATGTTTTCGGCCACTATATTTTGCGTGGTTTGCCCCCAGATGCAGATAGCCAGGGCACTGAATTGTGAAGAAACTGCCTTCATGACAGCCTAGAGGAAGTTGTGTTGTGATCATTGAGGAAAGAGACTGAGTCCTACACCCAGGCCCAAGTGATAGAAACCTGAGCAGCATAGGCAGGAATGCTGCAGGGCTGCAAAAACTGAGTCAACTGGGTAGAAGCTGGAGGCTGGCGTCAAGAACTGGCAGCCCCCGGGAACTGGTGGAGATAGGGGGAGGGCATCAGGTTTCTTATCTGTTCTTGAGATAATTTTGTCAAGAACTCAAGAGGCAGGGTGATCTCATCTGATATTTAGGTTCCCACTCCCTGCTGGGCAGAACCCATCACGCCAGTACACTCAGGTTGGGCTGTTCTTGGGCAGTGTCCATCCCAGATCTCTAGGCACTCCTCACACAACATACCCACGCTGTTCCTTACACCTGGTCTTTTAGCAAGTGCTCTGCCAGCTGCAAGACAACGGCTATGAGGGGCACCAGGACCATTTTATTTCCTACAAATGCACCTGGACAGTGTGCAATGAAAAGAAATAGAGTTCCTGCTGCACTGTGTGAGCAAGCAGAGCTGAGCATGTGGAATTTCCCCAAAGTTAAAGCTTCCATTTCTCCTGTTCAACCAAACGTGAGTTGAAGATTTACCAAGAAAGAAGACACTTGCCAAGGTTAAAATGACTGTATTCGTTCAGTATTCTGAGCCCTTTCATATGACTCCTAATCTTCACAATAATCCTCTAATATACCAACTTGATTTTGTAAGTGAATTTATCAAAATTTATAAATTTTATAAAATAAGGCCCAAAAAGAATGACTACCTAGCTCAAGCTATGTATCTCATGGTGGAAGACCCAGGGTTTGAACCCAAAGAGCCTACATTTTAAGCGCTTTCTAAAGCACCACAAAAATGCATTAATTTTGGATAGTTTCTAAAACTAATTTCAGTGGATTCATGTCTATTTAAGTTACAACTGTGTATATAATTGCATAAACTTTCCAACACAAATAAATCTAAGCACGCCAGGCTTTGCAAGGAAACATCCAGCCTCGAAGAAAGCATATTTCATTATACAAGTAGTCATACTGTAAGTGGTATGAGGAAAGCAAAAAGACCATCTCAGTCAACACTCTGCAACTGGAATTCCCCTGAAATCTCTGTACGAAATCAGAAATTATCTAAACCATAAATGAGTTAACTAAACTACAGATCAAGTGTCTAAATACAAAAGCATTAGAACATCAGAGAGCAATACCATACAGGTAGATATCTGCTTATTTATTCCTGATGCTGTGACAGCATTTATGTCTATTTTTTTATTGAAGGAGCTTTTTTCATAGATAATTCAATACAAATTATTTGAAAGAAAATGTATTTTGTTATTACTTGGAATAGAAAAAGGCAATCATGTTGGAATGGAATGCAGATAAAAAATAAGATCATATAATAAAGGATACAGCATTTGGCAATTTAGGCAGAGCCATTCAAAGGTAGGTGATTCATGAATAAGCTGAAAAATGGTTTTACTAATGTTTCTGAACCACCTACTATGTACTGGGAAAATGCTATATTATCCTTCATTTTAACTGATAATGCAATGCTATAATTTGTAAAGGAAAATATTTATTTTGCAGGAAAGTCCCTGCAGGGGACATTGACATGGGAAGAGCTCACAGGTGCTAATTCTCCTGAGGCAGGCACACCTTTCTTTTCACCTATACCATCCAGGCAGAAGAGATGCTCCCTCTCTGAGTGCCCTCTGTGTTTGTGGGGAGGGACATGTGCCAGAGTTCTGGCCAACGAGATGTTAAGTGAAGTCTTCTAGGTATTGGGTCCTGGGATAGAAATGACTGGCACAGATCTTCCCTTATTCTTACTGCCTTGAATGTCGATATGATGTCTGGAGTTAGAGCAGCCATTTTATTACCATGAGGAAGAGATTTGCAAAGATGTAGACTCTTATATTGTTGATATACTAAACCAATGCCAAGAACTGACTGTGTTCAGATTTCTTGTCATTTTAGAGAAATAAGCCTTTAATTATTTAAGATACATTGAGCACAGTTTTGTTTTTGTTTTTGTTGCTGTTTGTTTGTTTAGCCAAAACATTCTTAACTCTGTATCCCTTGTATTATGTGAAGGGGATACAATGGATATTTATTCTTCTTTATATTGATAACTATAGAAATGAAGTTTGGGTGTTTTCTTAACACTTAAAGATAACTATTCATGGCCATAAAAATAGGACATATGACTTCAATATTATGAAAAAATGATTAAAGGCAATATAATCCATACAGCAAAGAAAAAAAGAGGCATAAATACAGAATACAGAAATAGAATGACAAGAAGATCAAGTATATCATATCCATTGCAACAAAAATGTAAATGTGTTAAACTTTCTATCAAATGATAAAATATCTCCTACTGGTAAATATACAGCCAATTATATATGTCTAAAAGACACTCCAGCATAAAGTGATAAAGAAAAGTTAAAGATAAAAGGAATACTGACAGAAGTACTTCTATAACTAGAATAATGCATCTTATTAGAGGTTAAACGGGAAAATCCTGTCATCACCTGCTACATGGATGTAGGCATAGAAAGGCATCTGATACTATTCAACGTTCTTTTTTGACAAATTCTCCTAATAAACTCAAATAGGAAGAAAATTTCCTGTCATGGTAAAGACTAACTATCTTCAGGGAGTACCACTTGAAGCATTCCATTATTGTCTATATAAAGGTAAAAATCCCCATAAGCTTCGTATTTGTCATTGTTTTATCAAAAGTAATTAAGCATCCTAAAATGGTATGTTAGAAAAATAGAGATGATCATTATTACTTTCATACAGAAAAAAAAAAGTCTACCTGGAAAACAGAAGAGCTGCTGAGATACTAACAAGAATTCATTAAATGACCTGTTAATAAATAATAAATCAATGCGTGTCTTTACCCACAGTAACCAGTTAAAAAAATAAAATAAAGATTCCAGGTATAATAGCCACAAAAACGTAACATACCTCAGGCCAATCTCAAACAGAAACGTACAGGACTTCATAAAAATATTATAGCACTGGGCTGAGAGATATAAAAGACAATGAAGAAACGGAGAGGGCACCATAGTCTTAAGTGAGAAGGTCTGATATAGTAAAAATATCAAACTTTAAACTATAAATTTAGTGAAATTCCAATGAAAATTCTTATATAACGCTTTTTGAATCTTAATATGATTTTAAAGTTTTTCAAGAAGAAAAAATGGATAAAACCGGTCAAAAAGTTATGAGAGAGAGAAAGAGAGAGAGAGAGAAAGGGAGGGAGGGATAAAACAAGAGAGGAAGAAAGGGAGGGAGGGGAAGGGCAGAGGTGGGTTGTCTTAACAAAATATGAACAGTAAGTTAAAATAGTCTCTTATTATCCAGAAATAATCACAAATATCACCAGGACAGATTCAAAACTTAGAAGCAAACCCATGAATAGTATGTGATAAGAATGACATTAAAAATGAATGGTACAAGGTGACAGATATGTTAATTTGGTTGATTGAATCATCCTATGTTGTATACATATACCCAAACATCAAATCGTACTCCACGACTGTATATAATTATAACGTGTCAATTAAAATAATATTAACAGTAAAATTATTTTTAAAACTAACACTAAGTGGTTAATTCAACAGATGTGAGATCATTTATAATAAAACAAAGTTGGATCCCTACTTGTGGCTTGCACCAAAATAGAATCCATGAGTATGAACGATCGCAGGGTCAAAAGGGAAGTAATAACTTGGAGAAAATATCTGCATTATATGTGTATGATATTCTTAATGCCCAAAGAGATCTTCTAAATAAGAAAGTGAGAAGCACCTCAATAAAAAGATGGTTAAAAGATATGATTAGGTAATCACAAAAGAAGACAAAAACGTTTGAAATGACCAGAAGTAGAATGAATTCTATAGCAATGTTCCATTTCTCACTTAGAAGCTTGGGAGATATTTGGAAAGTTGTGATGATGTTTGGTGATCAAGGAAAGGTGGAACAGAAAACCCATCGGGCCGGGGAGTGTAAATTAGTAGATTTCACCATGGAGAGTAATTTGATGTTATTATAGCAACCTTGCAGAAAAGTATCCCAAGAAATAATCTCAGATGAAGACAAATTAAGAACAAGGGTGTCAGAGATGTGATAGTTACAATGGTGAATATTGAGAAAAAAAAACTTAGGAGGCCAAGAATAAAGGAGTGGTAGTCCAAATTAGGGCACCTCCATTTGAAGGCATGCTATGCAGTTATGAACAAATGTTTTTAGAGAATATTTCATGGCATGGGAAAGAAAGATGAACAAGAAAAGGGTACACTATCATATAGATGAACGGTGTCAGCAAGGAAGAAGAGCAGGAGGTGGTGGGGAAGGAATGGCTGGAATTCAGTTCTCTTTCTCTCTTACAGGAAATGTATGTCCTCAGGGTCCCCAGGGTGACAAGTCTGGATAGAACCATTGAGTCATAGCATTTGGACAGAGACCTCAAGTGAAGGATTTTTTTCTTCAGTTCTTAGAGGTAGTTATGCTTGTTTCCCCCCATGCTAAAAGATGGAGGCTAACCCAGCGGGCTGACAGTGTGTATCTGAGGCAATTCTTCTCACCGTGACCATTGGTTTGTCAGATTTATTTGCAGCAGTAATTCATACCAGACAACTTAACACCATTGCTGTTTCCTCCCTGGCAGTTCAGGGACATTGAGATGAATCTTCAAAGTGGCAACGTAGCTCCAGATGCTGGACACTGTCCCAGAAATGGGCCATTTGTCCCATGTGGGCGCCTACAGAAGCTGACATCGCCCAAGCTCAAGCCACACCCATCTGTCAGGGAACAGGTTGGCTGGTGCTTCTTGAACTAGAGTTTGTAGAGTTTGATTTGAGAGAAGTCTACAGTATTTGGAGGAAATTTTTTTTTAAGAAGACTCACAAATCATCTGTGCTGACTAGGCATTGGATACCTGCCCAACAGGTACATATAATCTTGTCCCAATACATAGACATAAGGGTCACTCATACGAATATCCTCTCTCCCACACCCTTTTAATTGATGAAAACCCATCCTTTATTGCATTTTGCCATTTTTGCAACACTTGTTATATAACTATATTCCAGGCCGCAAAGAGAGGCTAACAAAGGCAAGTCAAGAAAACTGAGACATGATTCCTGCTAGTAAGCATCCCACGGTCTACTTGGAAAAACAAATATATAAGCCAATAACTAGAACTCTGAGTACAGTGAAAAGGATGTGAAACAGGGGTTGTGGGAATTGGAATGTGATGCTCAACCCTGCCCCCAGGGAGATCTGTCATAGAGACAGTGACATCCGAGCTGTCAATATGAGTCTTCAAAACAGACAGGCACATTTCCCTTGAAAGTCGCAGCCTGTGCAAAGAGGCAAAGATGCAGAAGTGGGAAGAGCACAGAACTTGGTATCTGCAGGCACTCGGGCCACCTGGGTAATTTTACATTGATTTCTGGCATCCCTTGACATGACCATGAAAGTCCAATTTAGTATAGGCTGCAGTTTTTAACCAAGGACTCCTGGAGCCGAGAGAGGCCTGAGCAGACTCTCCAGGGACCCTGAAGCCCCTGAAAGCAGGTATATTTTCCCGGTCCACAGCTTTCATGAGATTCTTATGGGTCCATCACTCTCAAAGGTTCCAAGGGTCATGTAGATATGGTTAACTCTTGTGTGGCTGGACTGTGTCTCATGGAAAACCTTGAAAAGAGAGAACCACAGGAGTTCCCCAAGACCTGCTTACATTCAGGCAAGGTTGATATCTTTGAGAATAAAAGTCCTCTCCTTTCACAACTGCAGTCCATGTCAAGCTTAGGTTCTGAGTGCTGAAAGGAAGCTCACCCAGCAGAGGTTCCCCCCCAAGACTTCTCTAACACTAGGCGCCGGGGAAGAGATGCAATGCAGGGGTGCGGAAGCAGCATCCAAGTATCTACCCTCTGAAACTGCCAGTGTCTCCGAGGTGCAACCAGCTTGGATCGTCACCTGCCAGAAAGAGCAACCCCAAGCACCTCTTACAGGGTTAAGTAAGGACCAAAATAAACCACATGTATGAATGCATTTTGAGAAGTATCAAGATGTGCTCAGCTATCACCCTGTTGAAGGGCGAATGTAAACAGAGATAGGAGGCTGTGCTCCAGGCACACCCACATGGTGACCTTTTGGCATCTGAGAGGGCAGAGTGCTGGCTGGATTTTGGTGCTCCCCTTGCCCGCTTGTGCAGTGAGCAGCCTGCATAAGACACCTTGGACTTTTTCCTAAGGGCAGGCTGCTTGGGCAGCATAAAATGATAATAAGGTCTTTATTTGTCCAGTGTTATATACTATCCATGGGTTTTTTCTCAATTAATCTCATTACTATCCATAACCCCAACTATATTAATAGATAGTTGAACAGGCATTAGTATATTCATGTAAGCAAAGGAAAAAAAATAAAGGATTGGTTCACCAAAGAAGTAATACAGGTAATCATGATCAGTAAACATGTAAAAACCAAAAAGCTTTCCCTAGTAATTCAGTAAATACAAATTAAAACAAGATACTACATTCAACCTGTCATATTGGCAATATCAGCTTTAAAGGCTAATGCTTGTTTGATACATTGCAAAATTTACTGAGTAACTACTAGTTACCAAGAAGTAAAACGGGCAAAGAGGATACAGAGTACCTCTGTACCTGCACCAGTATGACGAAGTCCCTGTCCTCAGTGGGCTTCTAGTCTAGAGCTGCTCAGCCTTGCACAATTGACATTCCATGCCAGATCATTCTTTGGGTGGTGTGTGTGGTTGAGGGAAGGGGTATCCTAGGCATTGTAGGATGTTCAGCAGTGCTCAGCCTGCACCCATTTGTTGCCAGTAGCACCCTCTCCATTTTTGGTGAGGATAAACAAAAATGTCTCCAGACATTACAAAATGTCTCCTGGGGGGCAAAAGTGCACTTGGTTGACAACCACTCATTTAGGGTTAACAAGAAAACTGCAAAATCATATTTATGAGCTGTTTGTGGGAGGAGTATGTTAATTGAAGGGCAACCGAAATGAAGCCTTAAACTTCCTCATATATATCACTCAAGCAAGTGAACTTCCACCAGCACAGGTAAACAGCAAGAGACCCTGGCACTGCTTGGTTCTGAATAAAGAAGCCAAGCCTTGCTAGAAATTCCTACCCAAGTCTACACCATCCAGGATACAGAGTTCAAGTTTGCACTTCATCTATAGGGCAGAAATTCCAAACCAAAATGAACATAACATTTGCATTCAGGCTGAGGAAAATTGGTCTATAGGGACGAGTTTGTGTAACCAAAGTTACACAAAATAGTCACAATATATAGCCTCACCAGCTGAAGATAAAATGAAAATTTAAAATTCTAACCTAGATGAAGAAAAGCTACACTGTAACAGAGAACCAGCTTATACAACAAAGGTAACTGATCTATCCAATAACTTAGAAAAATTGAAGAATTAAAGGGAATAAAGAATTAAAATACTCCATTATGAAAGAACAAAATACTATAAAAGAAAGAAATGATGGATTTAATTTTTAAAAATCTAGAAAAGAAAAATACAGTCACTAACATGTAAAACTCAACAGATACAGCTGGAGAGCAGAGCTGAATAAATCACTAGTCATGCAACAGAAATTTAGAAGATGGAAGTCGTGGCAAGAATTTCAAATCATAAACAATAGAATGAGAAGGCCAATGTCTAGTCAAAACAAGTTACAAGTTATAGTCAAAACAAGAAGATAACAGAGATGGAAGAAAAGCAATCTTCAAAATGAAATAATTTTGAATTTTTCAAAATTGAGGATACAAATAAATCCTCTGTTGAAAACATATAAAATATATACCCATTCCTAGATGTGTCCCAGTGAAATGAAGATTACCAAAGACAAAGAGAAAACCTTCAAAGAAGCCAGGAGGACAAGCAGTTCTCTACAAAGGAACAATAATGCGAATAGCAATCAACTTCTCAGTAATAATAAAGACCACACAAGAATGGAATGGACTATGAGATGCACATGTATGGACTATGAGAAAGAAAATCTAAAACTTGATATTAAAATAAGCCATAGTTTAAGAGTGAAGGCAAAAATTAAGACATTTTCAGACAAAGACTGAAAAATTCACCACTCACAGACCCAAAATGAAAGAACTATTAAAAGAAGTTTTGACTAATAAGAAACAAGTATCAAAGAGTGAGAGTCAAGAGACAGCTGCAATCCCTCTATCAGTGTTTACGTGGGGAATTAAATGTTCATTGATTATAAAAATAATCTTGATAATTACTAATTTACAGAGGTTAAAAATATGGTGACAGTGTAATACTAAAATAATATATCTCAGAAAATAGAATGAGTAATCAAATTTAAAAGTTTAGAGCCAGGTGCAGTGGCTCATGCCTGTAATCCCAGCACTTTGGGAGGCCAAGGTGGGTGAATCACCTGAGGTCAGAAGTTTGAGACCAGCCTGGCCAACATGAAACACCATCTCTACAAAAACAAAACAAAACAAAAATTAGCTGGGCGGGGTGGCGGACACCTGTAATCCCAGCTACTTGGGAGGCTGAGGCATGAGAATGGCTTGAACCTGGGAGGTGGAGGCTGCAGTGAGTGGAGATCAAAACACTGTACTCCAGCCTGGGCAACAGAGCGAGACTCCATCTCAAAAAATAAAATTAAATAAATGAAGTTAAAATGCCTTCATGTTGTTCGGGAGGATAGAAATGATAAAAATGTCCATTAAGTCTAGAATTCATTTCATTAAATCTAGTGCTCATGTTATAAATTTCAAGTTGGCCATAAAAATAATTGTAATCAAATGTGGACTTTTCATACCAAAACAGAGAAATCAGGGAATAAATGAACTCTGAATAATTATTCAGTCTGTAATAGAGACTAAACAGAGGAGAAAAAATATTTTTAAAAAGACAATAAATTAAAACCACAAAATAACATAGTAGAACTAAACTCAGTAATCACAGTAGATATAAATTGGAAAAATACTAAAGTTAGAAGACAGAAATTTTGAGATAGAATCTATCCACCTCAATGCAGTTAAAATTAGAGCTGTAATAACACCAAAAAAGATGAAGGTGAGAAGGTGAAAAGCAGAAAGATGCCAGCAATTTGGCAGACACGTTGGGGCAAGCACAGAAAGAACCTACCCAGCAGCCTGATCTTGTCACCAAAGCCACATACAGCCTGTTCTGTGAGGAAGTCCCAGCATGCTCAGAAACTCAATGATTATCTCTGAGAACCTGAGTTTTGAAGTTCTCTGGCTCCAGTGAGCTCCAGGAACCCTGTGAAAAGAACCAGTCAAGCTGTGTTCTAACACTGCCCAAGGAACCTGAGCCACAGACACAGAGAAGACCTACCCCTGCTGCCAGTGAAGACACATAAAAAAGCTCATCAAACTGAGCATTTTCCAAAATAAAACCGTATTAAACAAACAAAATGGCAGGTAAATAAATGTCCTAATGTGGTGTGTCTAGGAGAGAGAGTTCAGTGGTCGAGTGTTGGTCTCAGGGTTTTCCTGGAAGTTGACGAGCAGCTCCTGTAATCCACATAGACAAGTTACATGAAGAATGATTAAGACAGTTTTGGAGAAGAATGTGAAAGGCAGTATTGACCACTCAGTTATCAGCTATTAATCCTACATGAAATTAAACATGCGTTTTTGTCCTAGGGGTAAAAAATTAGGACCTTGGAACAGGGTAGCACAGAAATTAATATCTGGAACCCCGATATGGAATAGAATTAGCCTTAAAAACTAGCAGTGAATACACGGATCATTCGATACCTGACAGTGGGGCAGTAAGCCACTCATAGGGAAACAATCTCATTAGATCCATACCTTATATACAAACAAACTCCAGATGAATTTTAAGGCAAAAATCACTAGAAGGAAAACTGAAACTTTTAGGACAATGATAATCATCTAACTTTTCTTGAGTGAATATCAGATGCCAGGCACTTTTTAGGACTTGACATAGGTTAACTCTGTGAAATCTGCAAAACAAATTAACAAAGCAGGTACTGTTATTACCCCCTTTATATAAACCAAGAAATCTCAGTCCAGAGAGAGATCTTTCCCCAAGTCACAGAGCTACTCAGCATGAGTGCTTACCAGTGGATCACTAAGGTGTAATACAGGGGAGTGTCTCCACAGTGTTGCAGTAGGTATGTACTTCTTAAGACACCCAAAGTATATAAGACACCAGTAAAGAAAAGGGCCAGACACAGCAGCTCACACCTGTAATCCCAGCACTTGGGGAGCCCGAGGCAGGAGGACTGCTTGAGCCCAGGAGTTCAAGACCAGCCCTGGGCAACACAGCCAGACCCCATTTCTACCAAAAAAAAAAAAAAAAAACTGGACATGATGGTCATGCCTGTAGTCCTACCTATTGCGGAGGCTAAGGCAGGAGAATTGCTTGAGCCCTTATGATTAAAGCTGCCATAAGTCGTGATCATACCACTGCACATGAGCGTGGACAACAGAGTGAGACCCTGTTTCGAAAAAAAGAAAATATTGACAAATTTGACTATTTAAAACATTAAATTTTTCTTTGACAAAAGACATTATAAACCACATTAAATGATAAGTTCGAATCTGACAAAACAATGTCTTTGCAAGGCATGTACCTGGCAAAGAAATCTTATCTAGACTCCATAAAGTAGTCCTATAAAATAATAAAAGAAATCCATTCAAATCAATAAAAAAAATTGACAAATCGTAGAAGAGGAAATGGGAGGAGCAAACGGAAAATATGTTCCACTTCCTGAGTAATAAAGGAAATGCAAATGAAAACAGTAGGATAGAATTCCCACATATTCAGATGGGCAAAAATGTGCCATCTGCCAGTGTTCTGCCCAGAAGGCCGTGCCGGGGTTGTGAGTCGGAACAGCCCCTTCGGAGGCGAGAGGGTGCCCCTGCAGCCGCACATCTCACGGAAGCCTCTGGGGTCGGCAAGCAGCCTGCTTCCTGTCCCATCTCCGTGTAGACAGCTTCCTCATACTTTGTCATCACAAAACCTTATTTCTTCCCCCTGTCTGTAGGTGCCATTCAAAGCCCCACGGAAAGTCTCACACAGAACACAACGAGCCATTAAATGGAACATTGAAGATGAATATTTAACCGCACGGAAAAGCATTCACCATATATGGTTAAAGGAAAAGGGTTTGAAAACATTTTGTATAATAAAGTCCAATTTTTAAGTAAAGAAATACATCAGCAAAGAGAGAATATGCAAAAACTATACACTAAATATGCTGTGTTTACAGTTGTCTCCTGGTATCCAAGGGCTATTGGTCCCAGGACCTTCTGCAGATGAACTAGCATAATATTTGCATCTAACCTACACACATCCTCCCATGCACTTTAAATCATCTCTAAATTACTTATAATACCTAATCCAACGTAAATGCCATGTGAATAATTGTTACATTTTATTGCTTTTTATTTGTATCATTTTTTAAGTGTTATATTTATTACTTTTTTTCTAATATGTTTGATCTGAGGGTGATGGAATCCTCAATGCAGAATCTGTGGATTACGGAGGGCTGACTGCACTGCCATATGTTTATTTCTAATTTGTTTTATATGTACTTTTTAAATTTCTCTTTCTTTTCTTTTTATGTGGCCTACTTTCAAAAAATTAAATCTTCAGGATGAAATAAACAGTGTAACTTTTATAATTTAATAAACACTGTTATATCATATACATACACACACATGTACGTATATAAGAATGTTTTGTTTTGCTTCCCTATTCTAGGCTCTGTGTTAAGTGCTTTATCTGCCTGAACTCCAGGCCCACTTCCCAGGTGGGGAGACTGAGGCTGAGCAACATTACATAGCTTGCCCTCGGTCCAGCAGCCAGGACTCAGGGTGGGCCTGGCTGACACTGACACCCTTGCCCTCCTCCATCATGCTGTTTAGCCAAAGACCCAGCTGAACCCCCAGGCGTAGGCCTTCTCCCCCAGGCAATGCGAAGACACAGGCGGGTCTCCTGGCTGCACCACTCCCCCTCGCACCTCCGTATACAGGTGCTACCTCATGTTCCCAAAGGATGAAACCTCAGGTTTGCAATGAAGCTAAATATGTCTCATGTCATGGTGGAAGAATTCCCAGACCCTCCTTTCAGCAGAGAGAGTATCTCGAGGGAAGACCTCTGCCTAGACTCTCGGCGGAAAAGGCCATGCCATGGTTATAATGTGGGGAGACCGTAATGTTAACTGAGCATTTACTGTGTGTCTGACAGACGCTCTGCAGGCCTCACCTCCTAGGAGGCCAACGGACCGAGTCAGGCCTGCCTGAACTTCTGTGTTCATTTCCTAGAGGTGCCTTCACAAAATACCACCAACCGGGCAGCTTAAAACAACAGAAATATATTCTCTCCCAGTTCTGGAGGCCAAAAGTCCAAAATCAAGACGTCAGCCAGGTTGGTTCCTCCTGGGGCTCTGCGGGTGGGTCCTCCCCTGCCTCTCATCCGGCCTCTGGTGGTCCTTGGAGGTAGGTGATGCTGATAGTCCCAGCTCCCAAGTCCCATGGCCAGGTTTGGTCTCCACCAGCCAGGTCCGTCACTTCACCGAAGCTTACAACAGATCCCTCATAGGATAAAATAAGATGATATCTTAGTCCAAATAAACAACAAAAAATGTATTTCGTGGCTGAGCACGGTGACTCACACCTGTAATCACAGCCCTTTGGGAGGCCGAAGAGGGAGGACCGCTTGAGCCGGAGAGGTTGAGGCTGCAGTGAACTATGATCATGTCACTGCACTCCAGGCTGAGTGACAGAGAGAGTCCCCATCTCAAAAAATAATAACAAAACAAAACAAAATAAAATAAAATATGTATTTCTCACAGTTGTGAGGGCTGGAAGTGCAAGACTCAGATGCCACAGATTCAATGTCTAGTGAAGGCCAGCTTCCTGGCTCCTAGATGGCTGTCTTCTTGCTATGCTCTCAAGCGGAGGAAGGGCCGAAGAGTGTCTCCAGGTCCATTTTAAAATAAAATCACTAATCCCAATTACATGAGGGATTAAGATTCAAAATATAAATTTGGGGAGAACACGTTCAGGCCATAGAAGATGACTTTGTGAACTGCTTTCCACAGGGTCTGACACAAAATAGGTGTTCCTTCACGATTTCCTGCCGTCAGCTGCAGCAGCAGCATTTTGTCATACCTGGGTACAGCCGCCGTGTCTGGTCATGACAGTGGGACACCTTGGGTTTGCATCTGGCCCGGCTCAAACATTCCAATGCACTAGAACATTCTCTAGCACTCAATTCAACTCAGCAAATGTGTACTGGGTGCCCACACACCCAGCACTCTGTTAGCGTTGAAGTTACTGAGACAATGAGGCCTTGACCTCAAGGAGGAGCTAGAGAAACAGAGACACAGGGGTCCAAAGAGATGGAGGCTGGAATCCCAGGCTACCTTTCACCAGCATGACTGACTTGGCCAAGTTCCTGAAACCTCTCTAAACCTCAGTTTCCATATCTGTAAGCAGAATGTACAGGACAACTCTTACCTTGTTGGGGATTGGCAGGGCCCAATAAAGCACCACTTTCAAAACTCTTGATAGGCCGGGCGCGGTGGCTCAAGCCTGTAATCCCAGCACTTCGGGAGGCTGAGACGGGTGGATCACGAGGTCAGGAGATCGAGGCCATCCTGGCTAACACGGTGAAACCCTGTCTCTACTAAAAAATACAAAAAACTAGCCGGGCGAGGTGGCGGCGCCTGTAGTCCCAGCTACTCAGGAGGCTGAGGCAGGAGAATGGCGGGAACCCAGGAGGCGGAGCTTGCAGTGAGCTGAGAGCCGGCCACTGCACTCCAGCCTGGGCGACAGAGCGAGACTCCGTCTCAAAAATAAAAAAAAATAAAATTAAAAAATAAAAAAGAAACTCTTGATAAAAAGCAACCATTTAATAAATGCTAGTGATTATCATCATGGGCAAAGCAGGAGAGGAGAGTGGGGTAGACGGGAGATGTGGAAGAAGAGGCGTTGGGGATGGCTTTGCCAAGGCAAGCTCTACAGAAAAGGTAGAAAGTGAAGCCAGGCATTCCAGGGGGCAGACCCCCGGGGAAGGTGGTGAGGGACACAGTGTTCTAGGTACCCCTGACCAATGTGAGGGGCCATCACATAGTGGGGAATACAACATACAGGAGAACAGAGAGATGTTTCCAGGGGCAGAGCAGGCCCTAAGTCCAAGCTGAGGTTTTCCTTCCGGATTCAGGGAGAAAGAACTTCAGGTTTGACCCTCTCTGGGACTTTCTAGACATGAGATTCTCTGAAAGGACATTTCCATTCCTGTTCCTGAAGTCTGATCTCCAGGAAAAAACAAAACAAAACAAAACTGTATTAGGGCTGTTGGGACTGGTGGTTCTTTATTCTCTGAAAGTAATACAAATTTGAATATTGCTTTAGCATTTACAAAAACTATCTATGACCCTGAGATCGCACCACTGCACTCCAGTCTGGGCAACAGAGTGGGACTCTGTCTCAAAAAATTAAATTAAATTAAAATTTAAAAGTGGGTATAAATATGACTGCAGAACTGCCCTGAGCTGCTACTCTGAGCACACTGCCTGTGAGGTGGCCTGTTCTGTGGGAGCAGTCATGGGGATGTAACACTGCCATCTCAATAAAGCATTTTCTTCTGCCACCGGCTTACCCTCAGATTCTTTCCTGGGTGAAGCCAAGAACCCTTTTGCTCTAAGCCCCATTTTGGGGCTCATCTGCCCTGTATCAATGTAATTTTTAGGAAGCTCCATTTTTTCATCTACAAAACATGAATGATAAGGAGAGTATCTACCACATGGGGTTAAATTGAATATTATATATGAGACCGTTAGCACACTGCCCAGCACAGAGTAGGTTATCAGCAAGTAGTGGCTATAATAATAGTGTATGTTATGATTATTATATTTCTGCTTCTAAGAGATCTTAAATCCATGCACATTCTCTCCAATGCCATCATCTTAGTCTAGGCCACCATTATTTCCAGGCTCTGGAATGGCCCCTCAGTTCCACTCTTCTCCTCTAATACAGTCACCATATCACAGCAAGAAGAAGGAGCCTATCACACAGATTAGGTTGCTTTTCCCGTTGCTGAAATCCCTGCAATGGTTTTTCCATTATTTCTGCAAAATCCCTCCCTCTGGGATGCCCAGCCTGTGCCCCCGCCCATGATCCTTTCAGAGTACTGAGCCACAATCAACTTCCTTTACTCCCTGGAAAATCCTATTCATGCCCTGCCCCAGGGCCTTTGCACAGGCCACTCTCACTCCTTGGAGCTTGCTCCCAGGTGTTCACTATCTCGGAACAATTGCCTCCTCCTCATCCTTTCCAAGTTTCTCAGAGATGCCTTCTTTGTAACAACCACCTCCAAAGCATCACTCATTGCACACAACAGTAAAAGTATTCCGTGTATGTAGTCATTCTCTTTGATGCTGTTTCTCCCATTAGACCGGAGAGAGAAGTGAGGGAGAGAGCAGTGTTCGTGTTCTTGCCCGCTGGGTCTCCAGTCCCTAGCTCATGGTTGTCTTTGTTATAAAGAAGGAAAACAGGGAGGGAAGGAGGGGACCATCTGTGCTGCAGTTGGGAGCTGCAGGTAGAAGAGAGACATGGGCAATTCACAGCCAGTGGCCCGAGCACGCACGGTGAATTTTTCTTTGCCTGCTATCATTGACTGAGCTTTTATCTCAATCCCCCAGTCTTCCTAGAGAAGAACACTTTAGCTGTCACCTATGGACCTATTCAGTTTAATCCACCAAATTTTTAGTCAAATGTGAATTTATTTTATCTTACTCACTAGTCCTGTTTGGGCAAATCGTCGTACATTACTTTACCCTCCAGCCCCTTCTCCCTGTCTGGGGGTGAAGTGGCAGAGGAGGGTGGTGATCCATCAGCCCCCTGCCCGTCCGGTCTCTGCATGTGTATGCAGGTGCTAGACCCCATCTCTTTGGCTGGTGGGCATTCCTTGGCATGGCATCTGCCTGTGGTCCCTGCCACGGCCTCCCTGCATCCTCCTCTCCAGCCTTGAGAAGGTCCTGGTCCCTGCTCTCTTAGTCTTTCACTTCCTACCCCACCCACAAGCCTTGGAGATACTCCCTAATGTCCTTGCAGCTTGGCACTGGCCACAGGGAACTGGGAGCCATCTTCAGGTTCTCTGTGGGATCACAGCAGTCCCACAAGGTTCTAGAGTTTGACAGC